TCCAGAATCCCTGATGGGTTTTATAAATTGTTTTTTAATCTCTTTATAGGAAATTCTTTGGTTGTTGGACACTGTGCATAAGTTGAATTCTCAAAGTTAACTATTATTTAAAGGGATGCAATCAATAGTAATTACTAAATAAATTTATTAGTAAGATTAGTTTTGATCAAGATCGAATTTTTACCTTAAAAGGAGAATGCAGTTGCAATGTGAATGTTTCCTTTTTTTTTTTTTTTTTTTTAGCATCCTCGCTTGGGTGTTGGTCTTCTTACATGGAAGTGGTTCTGTCTGCTAGATAGATGGTTTTAATGTTGATACTCATTTTCTAAGTCTTTACTAAATCTTTACTAAATGTTGACACATTTAGCAAGGCATTGTGCCCATGCAACTGTCTATTGAAGATAAATGTGTTTAGTGATTAGTGAAGGAATACTGCTGAAGAATACTGAGAGCATATATTATTATGCTTGGAGGTCAAAAATTATTTAACTTTGGTTCTCCAAAAAGTTCATTCTTTTTTGGGTAAAACAAATGTGACTTTTCAGTATAAACATTTTAACTTACCTGCCTCCTGCAATGGACTGGCAAATTGTCATTTTCAGTAAACTGGATTTGTTCAGTATCTGTGCACATTAGTCTAGTATGTAGATTAATATACAGTTGATTGCTGTGTTTGTCACTGGGGGGATGATGTTATAAATAAATTCAGATGCTAGATTTATCAAAGAAGTGAGTTATCAGTTAAGTTTTTAAAAATCCAATTATTAACAACCACCTTTTCATTCCATAAGAGTTGTAGAATTTCAGAGTTGGAATGAATCTTAGAGAACATCTAATTCAACCCTCTAATTTTCAAATCAAGTTTCATAGAATTCATAATCTTGTGTTCTCCTATTGTCCACCTGAGTGTGTAAATGAAAGATATTTTGCTATAAACCCTTTGCTGGAGATTTTAAAAGTAGATCTAATCTCTAATTATGAATGAATTGTATTTCAGAAATGTTTGTAAGACTGTTTAAGACTCAACATTTTTCCACAGAAGCATATTATAAATAGTGATAGGGTTCTAGGACTAGCCCTTAAAAGTTGTTAACCCATTATGTGACTGAAATTTTATGTTTGCAATGAGAGATGTTTTTAGCAGTCAGTGTGCATAATTTCTGTGGAATACAGAGATTACATTCTAGGAGAGTTTTATGTTATGTCTTAGGATGAAAAGTGAGTACACATGTGTTCATATTATTTTCTGAGTTTTTTATATACCTGAGATATTTGATAATTTAACAATACTGTTTCAGAACTCAAAGTTCAATTTAAATATGAATATTTAAAAATTATCTACCGTGGGGGTGGACATTGTGGCAGGTTAAGGCACTGCTTGGAATACCTACTTCCTATATCAGAGTGTCTGGGATTGAGTCCTGCCTCCACTTCTGACCCAGCTTCCTGCTAATGTACCTGGGAGGCAGCACATGATTGCCCAAGTACTTTGGTTCCTGTCACCTACATAGGAGACCTAGATGGAGTTTCTGGCTCCTGGCTTTGGGCTAGCCCAGCTCTGACTGTTACAAGCATTTGGGGAGTGAACCAGCAGATAGAAGACCTCTATGTCTGTTTCTCACACTTTGTCACTCTGCCTTTCAATTAAATGAATAAATAAAACTTAAAAAGTTATATTGAATACTGATGCTTGAGGAAAAAACTAGTCTGATTAGAGAAGAATAAAGAGCTACATAAAAATTTTGAAGGAGTTTTATGGGTTACTTTCAAAGGCTTAGATTTAGTGGTAGTTGTCTTTATTTTGCATATCACTTCAGAATGTATGTTTTTATTCCTTAAATTTTTGAAAAGATTTGTTTATATGAAAGGCAAAGTTACAGAGAGAGACAGAGAGAGGTCTTCCATCCAATGCCTTACTTCCAAAATGGCCACAATGACCTGGGCTGGGTTCGGCCAAAGCCAGGGGCCTGGTACACCATCTGGGTCTCCCACATAGTGTCAAGGACCCAAACACTTGAACCATCCTCTGCTGCTTCCCAGGTGCATTAGCAGGAAGCTGGATCAGAAGTGGAGCAGGTAGTACTCAAAAAGGTGTTCATGAGATGCTGGTATCACAGACTTAACCTGCTGCACTGTAACACCAGCCCTAGAATGTATGTTTTTGCTGGTATACATATCATCAACAAAGATTGATAGTCATTTACTTGAGATAATTGGACAAGTTGTGAAAGAAAAAGAATTTAAACTTTACATACATGTGCAAACTTGAGTGTAATCTTGCTTCAGTGTGCAGTTACTTGAACTAGGGGCTTGTGAAAACAGGAAAATCGGGTTTTGAAACTTACATGGGGTCTGCACATGGAGAAAGACAGTGAGGAAAACAGTGGAGTTAAACACCAGAAGGGCATTGTTGACAGTGAATGGCCTGTGGTGAAGATATTTGGGCATGCATGAAATGGTGTGAGAGGTTGGGTTCAGCAAGACAGTGTGCACACAGTGATTAGTATTTTTGAAATTTTCATAAATCAGAGGATGGCATGTATATATTTATAAATATACATAATCAGAAACCACATTTTAGAAAAAATAGTTTTCTCAATAATTTTGTTACCTTTTTATGTATGGAGGGCGTTTTTTGATTGATTTGGTTTTTGATATTTTGTGATGTACCATTTTTTTTTATTTGACAGGTAAAGTTATAGACAGAGAGAAAGGTCTTCCTTCCGTTGGTTCACTCCCCAAATGGCCGCTACGGCCGGCGCTGCACCGATCCGAAGCCAGGAGCCAGGTGCCTCTTCCTGGTCTCCTACACGGGTGCAGGAGCCCAAACACTTGGGCCATCCTCCACTGCCCTCCTGGGCCACAGCAGAGAGCTGGACTGGAAGAGGAGCAACCGGGACTAGAACCCGACACCCATATGGGATGCTGGCACCACAGGCGGAGGATTAACCAAGTGAGCCACGGTGCCGGCCCCGATGTACCATTATATTTATATTGAGACATGAGTCCAAATATACAACCCATTTATTGTTTAGAGAAAGCCTTAGTGTTAACTTGCCTTTCAGAAGAGTTTGACCTAAGAAGCTAATTTTCCTCAATAAATTGATGGTGCTTTTCAGAGAGATGTGTGTCCATTTTACAGATATCTTTCTAGTATTACAATGGATAGTTCCTTTATTTTGCCTTCTTTCAGCTCCAGCTTTGGAACATTACCCAAGGGAGAAAATTTGCCCCAGTGTAATTTTCATTGGAATCTATCAACAACTTACATAGAAATTTTGGCAAAACTGTTTTTTTCCCCAAAAAAAGGTTTATTTATTTATTTGGAAGTCAGAGAGAGGGAGAGACCAAAAGAAATTTTCTTCCACTGGTTCATTCCACAAATAGCTACAGTGGTTGGGATTGGTCCAGGCTGAAGCCAGGAACCTGAAACTCCATCTGGGTCTCCCATGTGGGTGGCAGGGACTCAAGTACCTGGGCCATCTTTGACTGTCTTCCCAGGTACACTAGTAGGGAGTTGGATCGGAAGTGGAACAGCTGGGCCGATGTTGTGGCATAGCAGTTAATGCCACCACCTGCAATGCTGGCATTCACATGGGTGTTGGTTAGTGTCCAGGCTGCTCAACTTCCAATCCAGGTCCCTGCTAATGGCCTGCAAAAAGCAGTGGAAGATGACCCAAGTTTTTGGGCCCGTGCCAGTGATGTGGGAGACGTGGGTGGAGTTTTTGGCTAATGGCTTTGTCCTGGCCCAGCCCTGGCCTGGGCAAAACAACGGAAGATGGCTCAAGTGTTTGGGCCCCTGACACACACATGGGAGACCTGGATAAAGCTTCCGCCTCCTGACTTAAACCTGGCAAAAGCCCTGGCCGTTGTAACCATCTGGGGAGTGAACCAGTAGATGGAAGATCTTTCTTTCTCTCTGTGTGTCTCTCCCTTTCTTTTGTAACTCTTTCAAATAAATAAATCTTTTTAAAAAGAACAAGGAAGAGTATTTGCAAAAAGCATAAAAGCTATTTCAGAAAGAAAGGAGGTTGAGGGCTTTAAGAAACGGATTTTTGGCCGGCGCCGCAGCTCACTAGGCTAATCCTCCACCTGCGGTGCCGGCACCCCGGGTTCTAGTCCCGGTTGGGGCGCCGGATTTTGTCCCAGTTGCTCCTCTTCCAGTCCAGCTCTCTGCTGTGGCCCGGGAAGGCAGTGGAGGATGGCCCAAGTCCTTGGGCCCCTGCACCCGCATGGGAGACCAGGAGGAAGCACCTGGCTCCTGGCTTCAGATCGGCGCAGTGCGCCGGCTGCAGCACGCCAGCCATAGCGGCCATTTGGGGGGTGAACCAATGGAAAAGGAACACCTTTCTCTCTGTCTCTCTCTCTCTCACTGTCTAACTCTGCCTGTCAAAAAAAAAAAAAACAAAAAAAAAAAACAACGGATTTTTAAAAAAGGAAAAAAGTATAGAAAAAAAAACAGAAAGGAGTTAGAAATACAAGCTGACTTTTTTTTTTTAAAAGATTTATTTATTTAACTAAAAGGCAGAGTTAGAGCTAGGGACAGAGAGAAAAGTCTTCCATCTGCTGATTCACTCCCCAGATGGCCTCAACGGCCAGAGCTGCACTGATCCAAAATCAGGAGCCAGGAGCTTCCTCTGGGTCTCCCATGTGGGTGCAGGGGCCCAAGGACTTGGGCCATCCTCCACTGCTTTCCCAGGCCATAGCAGAAAGCTGGATCAGAAGTGGAGCAGCCAGGACTTGAACTGGCACCCATATGGGATGCCGGCACTGCAGGCAGCAGCCTAATCCGCTATGCCACAGCACTGGCCCCATAAAGCTGACATTTTTGATGAGTAATATTATTTACTTTATACCTGAAAGGTATTATTAAAGACATAATCATCTCTCTAACAATGGCTATTGTTTTAATTTAATGCATGTGTATATGAATAAAAGAAATTGTCTGTGAGTATTGACTGTCCACTCTAAAATTCCCCTCCCCACTTTTTTCTCTTCAGCAGATCCCAGAGTTATTAAGAAATACCACATGGCAGAGATTGGGAAAAGGCAATTCAAGAGAGTTATTAGATGCTACAAAGGTAAGATTAAGCAAACACTTCTGCATATAGCTAGGAAAAATGTGCAAACCCTTGGAGCATTTCCCAATTTGTACTGCATATTTTACATTTCCCAAATAATTTTATTTTCCTAAATACTGGCACGAAGGTATGTTTCTGCTACTGGAAATGCAAAGAGAAGTCTCAATGTTTTTCTGTCCCTGGAGAAATCTGTCTGAATCCCTTGAGATCAGTGCCAACTAGAGTAACATTTTCAGAAAGCTTTTATAAATGTAATGGCAGCTTGTTGACACTTAAATTTATCCTGGTAATTTGTGTCTGATATGTGGAATACTGTAAGTTTTTCAAGCAGGTGAAGTTTCTTTACCTTAGAAGATGTTCAGATAGCAGAATACCAAGGGATTCTAAGCTTATTAGAGCCCATAGAGTAACTGATGCTAAGTTTACATGTTGATGAGGGTTATTTTTCATTGCTCATGTAAGTGAAAGACATCTTTAAAAATTTCTAGTGCTTTAAAATGAGACACATAAATCTCTATGATAGAAAAAGACTAGAGGCCGGCGCCGCGGCTCACTAGGCTAATCCTCCACCTAGCGGCGCCGGCACACCGGGTTCTAGTCCCGGTCAGGGCGCCGGATTCTGTCCCGGTTGCCCCTCTTCCAGGCCAGCTGTCTGCTGTGGCCAGGGAGTGCAGTGGAGGATGGCCCAGGTGCTTGGGCCCTGCACCCCATGGGAGACCAGGAAAAGCACCTGGCTCCTGGCTCCTGCCATCGGATCAGCGCGGCGTGCCGGCCGCAGCGTGCCGGCCGCGGCGGCCATTGGAGGGTGAACCAACGGCAAAAGGAAGACCTTTCTCTCTGTCTCTCTCTCTCACTATCCACTCTGCCTGTCAAAAAAAATAAATAAATAAATAAATAAAAAAAAAATAAAAGAAAAAGACTAGAAAATTAGAAGATGATATAAATCTAGAATACTTTATTTTTTTCTTTCTGATTGATAGTTATTTGCCATCAAGGTACAAAGTATTATTCTCATTTATGCAGAAGCTATGGAAATTAATATTCCATTATTAAATTAAAATTTTAAGGGAAAATGTACATAGTCTTCTCAATGTCCATCACACCATAGAGATTACTTATATTTTAGTCTTTTGCTTTGTTGAAGTCCTTATTATCTCATGTGGTATTCACCAGACCCCTTGATAAAACTTGTTGCTTGGTCTTTTAGAGGAGAAAATGTGACAAAGAGACATTGTCGACTCAAAATTACCTTTTGATGTTTTCCTTATATAAAATGCTTTAAGATTGTTGATCCAAAAATCAATAATCCATTTATGGCAATTACTTTTTGTGTCTCAACTGGTGAGAACCAGAAGGCACCTTGGCTTTTTGTAATTCCATTTTCATAGCTTTTCCCTGAGCTGATGCTGTTATACTGTGTATGGTATTGATACGCATTTGTTTTTATAAAGAAGTGAGCCTTTGTTCTTTAATTATTGATTATTATGGCTACTAAAGAAGCATCATTAAATCCAATGTACTTTATTAAGTATTTTTAATTGTGAGAGCACTTTTAATACTAGCAAGCCTAAATTGTAAGCCTAATCTTTACTATCTTTTTAAATGAATGAATTAATTTTTTAAATGTTTATTTATTTATTTGAAAGTCAGAGTTACACAGAGAAGGAAAGGCAGAGAGAGAGAGAGAGAGAGAGAGAGAGATATCTTGCATCCACTGGTTCACTCCCCAATTGGCCGCAATGGCTGGAGCTGCGCCAATCCAAAGCCAGGAGCCAGGAGCTTCTTTTGGGTCTCCCACACGAGTGCAGGAGCCCAAGCACCTGGACCATCTTCTACTGCTGTCCTAGGTCATAGTAGAGATCAGGATAGGAAGTGGAGCAGCTGGGACTAGAACCGGCACCCATATGGGATGCTGGCACTGCAGGTGGTGGCTTTACCTGCTACGCCACAGCACCAGCCCCTACTATTTTTTAGATTATCATATTTTGTTGAATTGTTTTATTTTTATATATTACTAACATCAAAAGTAATTGTAAAACTTTTTGAAAAATTTAAAATAGGTAGTATATTTGCATATTTTAAGGATACTTGGGAGATCTGTACATATCTTTTTTTTTTTTGAGATAGCTGTATAAGTGAGTCTAACAAGCATTGAAACCTACACTGTCCATGTTGTCCATATATAGGACACTGTTGTATGTGCCATGAGAGATAAAAAGATAAAATATACTTTCCCTAATCTTAAGAAATTTACCATGAAGTAAGAAAGATAAAACATGTAAATTAATTGCTGTAGCAAAAGATATACTGTGAAGTATTAAAAAATCATGTTTCTAAATATAACAGGTTTTCAGAAAGTTCATGGAACATGCATATTATGAGAAAAGTTGCATGGATTTCAATTTTTTTTGCACCAAAATAAACTTATCTTTTTATTCTCTTTTCCATTGATTTAAAAAAATGTTTATCTTCATTTTATCTGAAAGGCAGAGAAACAGAGATAGAGATCACCCATCCATTCATTCATTCCCCCAAATACACAACAGACAGGAATGGGCCACACCAGAGCTGGGAGCCAGGAGCTTACCTTGTGGTGCAGCAGGTTAAGCCACTGCGTGCAACATTGGCATCTCATTTCGGAGTACTGGTTTGAATCCTGGCTGCTCTGTTTCTGATCCAGCTCCCCATCCAAGCTCCCTGCTAATGTGCCTGGGAAAGCAGCAGAAGATGGCTGAATTGATTGGTCCCTGCCACTCATGTGGGAGACCAAAATGGAGTTCCAGGCTCCTGGATTTAGCCTTGGGCTCAGCCCTGGCTGTTGCAGCCATCTGGGGATTGTAGTAGTAGATGGAAGAGCTCTTTCTCTCTTTGTCTCTCTTCCTTTCTTGATCTGTCACTGTGCCTTTCAAAGAAATAAAATAAATCTTTAAAAAAAATCCAGGTCTCCTATGTGGATGGCAGGGACCCATGTACTTGAGCCATCACCAAGCTTCCCATGGTACAAATTAGGATTGGAAATAGAGTCAGGGCTTGAACCCAGGCACTCTAATATGGAATGTAGATATCCCAAGCAGTGTCTTAACTGCTGTGCCAAGTGTCCCCTCCCCCTTTTTTAATAGAGAGGACCTTTTTGTCATTATTTTCATTATTTATTTTTACTTTATTTGAAAGACAGCAACAGAGAGGTAGATCTTCCATTGGTCTTCCCTCTTCAAATGTCTGCAGCAGGCAGGGCTCGGCCAGGCTGAAGCCAGGAACCACGAACAGAGATATAAATTAATTATAACTATATTATTATATTTGCTTGCTAATAATGGTATAACAGATTATCATCACTATAATTGTGTTAGTGAATGATAGTAAGAAAGCTGGTATATAAATGAAATAGAAGTGTAATACAAATTAAATCTTTTAAACATTCATTTTAAGAATTATTTAGAGAAAGTGACTTCTGTATATTAATTTGTTAGATCTTAATATTCTTGTATAAACTTAACAATAAGCTAATTCTGAAGGTGTTTTGCTTTACTATGCCAGGCAAAAGCTATGCCTCAGGATTTGTTTGGGGAACATTTATTAGATTAGAGTATCTAAACCAGATGTTTAGACACCTGAAATTCTGTAATAGCTAAATGAACTGCTTGGTATCCTCTTCTACTAGGTTCTCCAGGTATGGCCACTGATAGAAAAGAGAACATGTTGGCATGGTCATGCAGGAGGAGGACTCCACACAGACCCAAAAGAAGGGGTAAGAATCACTAACAAGAACTGGAAATTCTTATTGATGAGTGTACTTACAATGGAAAATATAGGTATTTAAGATTTTCTAGAATATTTGACTGCTAACTGCATATTCTGTCATGCAAAACCATTTGAACTGACCATGATTATATAGATGAGATTTTCCTCAGGCTTAAAAACAATAAAAATCATGATTGAATTTAAAAGAGAAAAGGTATTTGTGAACCTAAAAAATCTTAGTTCTTTACAATATCATTGGTTGAGGTTATTTGTTGTGTAATATAGCTTTGTAAGTAAGTAGAGAAAGTTAGCTATTACAAGTAATTTGTGTGTGTGAGTATGTATATGTGTTAAGATTAATGTTTCCCCTTGTATACATTTGATTAGAAAAATTCTAGATTATCCCATAGCTTCATGGTAAATCATCTATATATCCAATCTATTTAATTATACATATTCTTTATAATTGTGATTATCATTATGCGAGCATACGAACCAATAGGGCCACTGAAATAAAAAGATTTAATTGCACTACACGTTTTCTGGTGAAAATGTCATTGGAATACTGTTACACATTTCTCCATCTGGCCTTTTTCTCTGAGTTTGCCTTTATTTTCTTTGGTTTGACCCAATCTCTATATATGTGTCTCTAAGTAGAGAAGATATTTTCAGGGTTGGTGGTTAAGTGCAAATTTTATGTTAAATTGCTCTATAAATTAAAGGTAAGTAAATACCAGTTATCTTATTGGTAGAATGTAATTGGTAAGAAAAACTTTTCAGTGCTTTTCTTTCTTAGATTTCCAGTGCAGCTTTTTTCTTTCAAGGAACTCAAACACTTCACATCTATGTTTTGTCCCTATTTTGCATGTTACTATCCTTTCTGGCTGACTGTCTTTCAAAACAGCAAAGTGTCATAAGAGAGAATATTTTTAAATTACGCCAAATAGTGAGATTTGTTTATCAGTATGTTAGTCTTTGGCATGGTATTTGCCAGTTTGCAGGATCATCTGTTACCAAGACCTCTTAAGGCTAGTTGCTGATAATGCTGTAAACACAACCAAAAAATATGTTCACTAATAAAGGAGAAGCAGTCACTTCTCTTAAACTCAAGCAATATAAACTTCAAGATGGTTTCTTCTCCAATAAAACAGAACAAAGCAAAAATCATTGTAATATTTTATATTTGGTTTTCTTTATTGTTTTTCTCCTGCCATCTTTGTACTTCTTTAGCTTTGTTAGCTAATGAAATCTGTGCAAAAAAAAGGGGTGGTGTGGAGTTGTAGTTAAGAGCCTGAGCTCTGGAGACAGACTACCTGGGCTTTAATCATGATATCCTCATTTTCTAGTGGGAATGATCTTGAACAAGTTACTTAATTTCTGTGTGCTTTGGTTTCTTTATCTATAAAATGGAGACGATAATTCCAAAATGAATTTAAATGAGTTAATTCCTCACACTATATTTAAACTCTTAAATAGTGCTCAACATATAGTAAGGATTCAATAAATATTGGCTGTTCTTATTATAATGTGAGATTATAAAGCCTGTTACCTATCATAATTCATTCATTTAAAAAGTACATTTTCAGTACATGCTTTGTGCTGAACTCTGTGCTAATTACTAGAGATAGAATAATGACAATAAAAAATCCCCTGCTGTCTAGAAGCTTAACGGTTTACATGGCAGACTATCTAAACTACTATGTAGAAGTTTTATTGCCCTAATAAATAAGACTTTACCTTAAAACTAACTGACATCTCTACTACTTTACTTTTTATTCATTGCTCCTTGTGTGTACTTAATGACTATTAATCAGCATTAATAATGCATGTCAGAATGTATTTAAATCATGTATTTATCCAATATGGCTATCATACAGGTTTCGTGAAAAAGGATTGGTAACTCAGTATTTCAAAATTCCTGTTTTTAAAATAAATTAATTAAGTGACTATTTGTTTATAATAGAATCTCTTAAGGGATCTTGGAGCTTTGGTCTTGGCATCTACATTTTTATTTATGTCTCTTGAAAAAAAGTATCTGTTGGTAAGTTTAGTTAGTCCTGCTCTTAATAAGGACATAAATAATGCAAAACTTAATGAAAGGACTACTTCCCAGACTTTGCTTGACTTGTTCTTTTTTATTTAGAAACACCTCTCTATTAATTGAATATAGTCTGAAGCTAATAGTATTTAAAGAGAGATTAGTACTTAGTAGAGCCATCAGAGAGCTTTGGTATAAATCTTGATGTTATCAGAAGAAGTGAAACAGCAACTTGGAGCATTAAAAGTTGGAGGATTGGGGAGATAATGGAATAATGAAACTCTAGGCTTGTTAAAATGAGTGGGTACACAGACCAGTGGGCAAGAATACCTGGATGACATGGGAAGGCAGTTTTCTAGTTCTGATTTCATACATCATCAGGCAGCCTTATGATCTTCATTTGATTTCTGAAATTGACTTCTCTTTGAGGTAGAGAATTCACTGATGGGCCTTGTGAATATTAGTCTGCTCGGTAAGTATTTTCTCTTGTAAATTATTACATGGACTGTCAGTTACAAATTCATCTCATGTAGCCTAATCCATTTTTTCTTAGGGCCTAATCACTGCTGGATAATGCTCTTCATTGGAATTTCCAACCAACAGAGCTTAAAAAACAAACCCTGAGATATATAGAGAAAGTAATTATAATTACAAAGCCTTTCCTGACAATTAATATATGCTGTCCTTTCTCATCCAAACTTACAATACTTATATCCCCAGTGTTATTAGGCAGCCTCTGAACTAACTCGTGCTCTTTTGACCTACCTTTTACTAAGGTACTGTTAACCCTAAAAGTATTGAAGTAGTGGTTTCAATTATTCCTTTAATTGCACCTCCCTTTAGCTTGGGTTGGGGACATAGTTTTGTTTTCTGCACAGTTTGCTTGCCCTTGAAATTGTGGGCACTTGCAAATTTTCTGCTAAATGAGTTCTTTTGAGAGAAAATATTCAGCCTAAAGCCCATATTTTTACAAAACAGATAGCATTGCAAAATTTTTCCTACCATTTTTCTTCCTCACCACAAGTTTTTCCCCCAAGTAGTTTCGTTTAAAACCTGTCCTTTGCCAGCGCCGCGGCTCACTAGGCTAATCCTCCGCCTGCTGCGCTGGCACCCCGGGTTCTAGTCCCGGTCGGGGCGCCGGATTCTGTCTCGGTTGCTCCTCTTCCAGTCCAGCTCTCTGCTGTGGCCTGGGAGTGCAGTGGAGGATGGCCCAGGTCCTTGGACCCTGCACCCGCATGGGAGACCAGGAGGAAGCCCTTGGCTCCTGGCTTCGGATCAGCGCAGCGCACCGTCCGCGGCACACCAGCCGTAGAAGCCATTTGGGAGGTGAACCAACGGAAAAAGGAAGACCTTTCTCCCTGTCTCTCTTTCTCTCTCTCACTGTCTAACTCTGCCTGTCAAAAAAATAAATAAATAAAAAAGAAAAAGAAAAACCTGTCCTTTGATTCTGTGAATACTTCTGGCTGTTAGATCTTAAGAATGTCTGTAAATGGGAAAGCAGCAGAAAATGGCCCAAGTCTTTGGGCCCCTGCACCCACATGGGAGACCCAGAGGAATCTCCTGGCTCCTGGCTTTGGAATGGCCCAGCTCCGGCCATTGTGGCCATCTGAGGAGTGAACCAACGAATGGAAGACTCCCCACCCTGCCTCTGTCTCTCTGTAATTCTATCTTTCAAATAAATAAATCTTTTTTGAAAAGTCTGTAAAACCAGAATTTTTAAATTCTTCATCAGCTAAAGAAAAAAATGATTCTGCTACCTTTATCAAAAGATCATTCTGTTTTTTCTTACTCTTTTTTTTCCTCTCAAAGTCCAGTGGCCAAAAACAAAAAATGAAGACAAAAAGAAAAGCCCAATGGGCTTCACTCCCTTGTAAGGCATAAGCTTTTGGTGGAGAAATTTGCTGTTGATTCAGTGTCGGACAACCTTTTCTGGTGAGAGATGTAAAGTTAACCACTTCAGAAACAAAACATGTGTTTATTAATATACAGTTATCTATTTTTAAAGTTTTATTTATTTGAAAGGCAGAGTTACAGAGAGAGAGAGAGAGAGAGAGAGAGAGAGAGATATTGAACCATCTGCTGGTTCAATCCCCAAGTGGCTACAAACAGCTGGGAGAGATTGAGAGAGAGAGAGAGAGAGAGAGAGATTGAACCATCTGCTGGTTCAATCCCCAAGTGGCTACAAATAGCTGGGGCTAGGCTAGGCCAAAGCCAGAAGCCAGAAGCCAGGAGCTTCTTCCAGGTCTCCCACTTGGGTGCAGGGGCCCAAGTGTTCAGGCCATCTTCTGCTGCTTTCACAGGCACATTAGCAGAGAGCTGAATCAGAAGTGGAGCAGCCAGGACACAAACCATCATCCCAGATGCCGGCATCATAGCTGGCAGCTTTACACTATGCTGCAAAACTGGCTCCACATTTATCTTTAATATCTGAGAATTCTACCAAATGAGCTGCTCCGGATGTTTTGATTCTTTTAAATTCTTTTTGTGTCCTGTCCTAATGGTTATTAGTTATAGATGTTCACTTCTAGCACATTTGTTGACTTGAGCACTACTGCATATAAACAGTACAGTTTGTACCTTTCTAGTTACACCTTTTTTAGTCAAATGTTTTTTTCATTTTATTAATATATTTGCTTTGGTCCATTGTGCTGTATAAACTTCCTGTGTACCAGTAGATATTCTTTAATTATTTCTTCTTTGTTATTAAATATTTATTTATTTATTTATTTGAAAGAGAGAGAGAAATCTTCCATCTGCTGATCCACTCTCCAGATGGCTGGAATGGCCAGGATTGGTCCAGGCTGAAGCCAGGAGTCAGAATCTTCATCCTGGTCTCCCTCGTGGTTAGCAGGGGCCCAAAGCACTTGAGCTATCTTCCACTGCTTTTCCCAGGCCATTAGCAGGCAGCTGGATTGGAAGTGGAGCAGCTGGATCTCTAACTGGAGCCCATGTGGGATGCTGGCACTGTA